GGCGTCAGGTCGCTAAGATCATGGTCCAGCTTGCCTCAATCCGGATACCAAAAATTCGCTCTATCATCCGAGACGGCTCGGACTCGTTCGTTGTGGGACGGCTGATTGAAACAGACTCGGGGCCATACTATTCTGCTGCCGAATTCTACGCGGATTACCCACTGGCACTGAGTAAAAGCCTCGGAGAGCACCCAGTCAGCGGACAAGACGAGCTAGTGCAAGCATTCCACTCCCTCGCCGCCTCCTTTCCGCCTCCTGTACCGCGAGTAGGAGATGGCTCCGCCGAAGGTTTTGGCCTAGCTAACTACGATCTCAATCCAAATAACTTCCTTGTCGATCGGGAGTTCAACGTACTCGCCGTCATTGACTGGGACTCCGTCGTCTCGGTGCCCGATGCAGTCCTTCACCGCTTCCCGTTTCTGATGGGGGTCAGCTGCGCTGTCCCGGGAATTGTTGAGACACACCCCGCTGTAATGAAACGGGAGCAACTCGGCCGGCTATTTGCCGAGATTGTGGAAGAAGTGGGACGGGAGCAAGCGGGAAACGACTGCGAAGGTGCGAACAAATGGCCCACGCACCTTCTCACGAAATCAGGGTTTTTCTCTAAGGAGGTCGTGGCGTTCCGCTCGTTGATATACGTCAAAATGAGGCAGGATTGGGTCAACAACACGTGGCTACAAGGTTTGAAATGGTTGGGCGAGCATAATGAGGCGCAGGTGGCACAGTTTTATCTTGGAGGCTGAGAGTTGTCGGTCCCGCGAGACTTGACGTTCGGGGTAGCCAAAGAAAGGAAGAGCTCTCGCGTAGAGCCTTGCGTGGAAAGAGCAAGAACCGTTTCAAGCATGGTGAGGGGTAGCTGGGCAACAGAGGGTTCGAGGCGTGGATTAGGTTGTCTTGGATGTTGAACCAGAAACATCGAACAAGACTGGAATTCATTGACAATTTATAGTCTGGCTCCGGCCATCGAGCAAGCAGTGGCGCCTTCCCGAAGGGTGTGCTTGCGTCAACTACATGGCCGCCTGCGTTTTTATGAGCCGTACCCTAGCCATGCGATAGTGCGGGGCGCGAGTACCAACAAGGTGGTCTTCCATCACTCAGCCTTCACCGGTCCAAGAGAAGTTGCGTCCCGCCATAATGAAAATGGCGCCCTTTTGCCAAATCGAACCACTCCCAGCTACTCTAACACAATTCGGGCAGGGTTGACCGGCCTGTCAGTCGCAGCCAGTCATTGAAGGGGGGCTCCAGGGGGTTCGGTGTGAACAACTTCACCCCGGACGAGTCATTATTGGTCGTCAGCGAATGTCAATGTCGACTTCCGTCGCTCGTTACATGGACTGCCCCGCAAAAATTTGCCAACCTTTTGGAGGCACCCGTCAACGTTTGACAGTGTTTCTAGCGATCGTGCGGTTAAGAGAGGAAGCGTGCGTACAAGGCTTCTTTGGATAGTCTCTCATATGCACTATCGAGCGTGGCAGAGCCTTTTGAGTCTGGCTAGAGCGACTTGACGTTTCTCGCCGGTCTACCTTTTGAATAACTCAGAAGAAAGTCGAGTGGAGCTAGTCCAACCGCCTGGGCCTCCGCCTTTGTGCCCTTTTCTTGTGGGGAGCACGGCTTAAGCCATAGGCATGGGATTCGCGAAGATGAGCCAATGACAGACATATTCGACTCTTATGGCTACTGCATTCTGCATACACACAGATGTATGACCCGGTGAAAGTGGAGTTTCTCCAATCACAGAGTTTATGGCCCCCAAATTGGAGGCAAATGCTACACGGTTAGGTGTGATACAGTCCGTTCCTAGGACTTGACCAATAATCAATGTTTGACCGCCGTAGTGGGGCAAATTATCTACCAGGTTCAATTTTACACCCGTTCCCCAATTTCATCAAAGGCAGACGCGATTTGCTATGCGACGAAGACAAAATTTGGCGGGGCTGTACAACCTCCAGATTTGGCAGCGAATTTCCCGTCAACCTGCGTTGAGCGGTAAACCACTAGGGGCTTCGTATATGTTGATGAGGGTTTGCAGAGAACTTCAATGTTCATCGGGAGCCAAGATCTCGTCACCCAAAACATACCTTGACGCAGTATAGACTCCTCTACTCGACGAACATAATGCGACTTTCCTACCACTAAGATTATATCGCATCGGTGTCCGCACCGAAACTCCGTCCCAAAGGTCTGTCGCATCTCGCGCGCGATACTGCATAGCGCGATATATTGATTTGCGGCATGTAATATAGTTGTGTAGGAGAATAGATTGCCCTTCGATTGAGCCACCCGCTCGGCAAAGAGCTGGCCTCGAGTATATTCAATGTCGACATTCTGCATACCTCTAAGCTTCCCTCTTTCTTTAAGCTCTCTTTTACTACCGTCGCTAAGACTCAAGACACCATGGTTACCCCCTCACTGCTTCTATTATCGCTCCTTTCTGGGTCTGCGTATGCGCATACATACATCTGGGTCAGTAATTGTCTTATCGCACCGTATTGTATTAGCTTTTCTCACAAAACCAGGGCGTCTTCGTGAATGGGGTAGATCAAGGCACCTTCCGTGGCATTCGAACTCCAGCGTACAACGGCGGCCCGCACGCAGGAGGCTACGCCAATTCGCCTGTCAAGGACCTCAGATCCATCGATCTCCGCTGCAACGTATTGGGTGATATCCAAGCGGCTGATACCATCAAAGTTGCTCCTGGAGACAACCTGAGTACGTTAAATCTTGTGCTACGTAAAATGTAGCCAGAATTTTGAGAATTGGGAACCTTTACGTTGACAATCTACCTTCACTATCAGCCTTTGACTGGCACCACGATTACCGGAACGGCACCGATGATGTGATTGCTTCTTCCCACCATGGTCAGTTTGCCGCGCCCCTTCTCGGATAGAAGTTGAGCGCCACGTTAGGTCCTTCACTTATCTACATGTCACCCGATCCTCCAACAGAGAACTCATTTGTCAAGATCTGGCATGAAGGGCTTTACGAAAGCCTTCCCTTCCCCAAGCCCGGTAAATGGTCGACAACGTCAAACATTGCAAAGAACTTTGGGCATATGAATGTGCGCATTCCGAAGGATCTCAAAGCTGGATATTACCTAATCCGTGCTGAGATGATTGGACTTCACGAAGGCGATGTAGGTAAAAGTCTTGAACCGCCATTGATCTCTTCATGCGGCTTGGTATATCAGAAAGACTTTCTATGCAAAGTACACTGGGAGCCATTGGAATGAGCTTTACTGACTCCGTATCCGTGTAGGCATCCTATCTCAATAATCCCCGGCGCGGTGCCCAATTCTACCCCGACTGCGTCCAAGTCGAAGTCACCGGCGACGGCACAGTCTCCCTCCCCAAAGGCGTATCCTTCCCAGGCGCGTATGATTACAGCGACCCCGGAATCGTCTACGATGTACGTCCTCCATCCTTGTGGCCTCTTCAAACCCGAATCTTAACATTACCCAGGTATACTGCTCCACTGAAACCAAGTCTCGAACAACCGGCGGCCCCTGTGTAACGACGTATCCCATCCCAGGTCCGACTATCTGGACAGGTGCTTGGGCAGAGACAACCGCTGTTTCTGTAGGCCCGGTTTCCGGAGCGACGACTGCAGCGCCGTGGTCGACGTGGATCCAGAAGTCCGTGGTTACGTCCGCGACGTTCTCGGATAGGAAGACGGTGACGGTTGTTGGAACATCGACGTATGAGGCGAAGTGGTACGTAAACTTTGTGCCAATCACCGTTATAAGGAAATGCGCTGGGAAAGAAAGAAGGGCACTTATACCCCTTTAGATGAGCTTTGCTGACCCTGTGCCTGTTTGATTTTAGGTCGACTACATATCAGACACCGGCACCGGCTACGAAGAGATGGTAGGAAGTATGCTCTATTACACATCTAGAGACTCGAAGCTAGCTAGTATCACGCGCTTCCTAGTCGGAAACGTCGGCTACATCGCCTCTCACTGCTCAATTCCATGACACTATCCAATAAGAGACGCATTTTTTATACGGAAAACTTTGCCTATCGTGATATCTTACTTTCTCACTCCAAAGAGATCTGCAATAGAACTGCTCTACCTCTTTTAGAACTTGTGTGCTCTTTTAAAGTTGACTGTGGTTTCATTAAAGTCTAATAAAAATCCCGCATCATCGTCTGCATCTGAAAATAGAGCTTTTATTTCCCAGTACCTTCTTTCTTTGATACTCCCCCACATCGAGGGCTACTAAGTGGCGGTGTAGGGAGACCCTGATAACATAAGTTGAGAACAAGGATAAGTGCTCTGTAAGGTACAAGTTTACAAGGGAGATTCAAGCAGGTGTATGCGTAGATAGCAGTTAGTAGGCTATATCCTCAATCTTGAAAAGCGACTTGTAGATTACCTCCAACAGTAGCCAAATCTCGGAGACCTGAGTGCGAAGGATGGGAAGATTAAGACTCGCTCCTATGCCGAAGAGACCTTCTTCATCGTCGCCTGTGCGGAGCTTGAGAAGCGGGTTGCGACCCAGGTTCGCCGGTACAAGGAGAAGAAGTTTGAGGCTGGAACCCTTGTGAGGGTGATCCGGGACGACACCCCCCCTGCCCTCCGAAAGAACCGGACGGCGCAGTACATCGTCCGGAAATGGTTCGCAGCGGCATTCAATAAGGACTCCAGATGGATCAACAAGAACCTTCGATACGCGCTGGTGTTCACCCGGCTAGGGCGTATCAGCTTCGAAAAACAAGCTAGAAATTAAACTCTGCAAACCGTATCAAAGGGGGCCTCAATACCTAATACCCTACGTAAACCCTAGACTTTTATAGCATCGTACGTCCTGATGCCTCACTTCCCAAGATTGTCTTCCTGAGGGGGACTGCAACACAAAAATCAAACCTCTCTGCGAATTTGATAAACGATCACAACGGCAAACACACCGCATCCATGTAAGATTCTAATTTCCCGTCCCGTCCCATGTCCTCATAACCAGAACGTGAAAAACATAAAACAAAAGCAAAAAAAGAAGGGATAATGGTCAGTACGGGGGTCGAACCCGCGACCTTGGCGTATTTTAGATTCGAGGGTTCAACCCCCGTATCTATTAGCACCACGCTCTAACCAACTGAGCTAACCGACCGAGATACAACTCCTATTGAATTGTTAAGAATTTTCACACCTACAATAAATATATACGTATACAAACCAACAGTAGTCCGTCTCCCACTCGTCATTACATATCAATGCAAGAAAAAAGTTTAGCCGAGTCAGCTGCAACCGCATCTCTCGCGCAGCAGAAAAAGCGGGGTAGTGGGATACATCGCAGCCCCGCTCTCGACACCGTAAGACATCTCCCGGTACGTGACGTACTAGGCGCCGTATCCCCCTTCGATAAGTTTTACAGCGAGTACTTTTGTTTTTAATTTTATTCTTTCAAGAGATTGGCTTATTGTTCGCGCGCTTGCTTGATAGGAGGGCTTTTTGGCATCACACCTAGTCTCCCTGCTACATGAGAGCTTGTCGAGCCATCTCGGGGTTTTCAATTACCACTATCTACAAAGGCACTTTGGTGATTCGTGCGGCGTATGGATAACGTTACCGATGCTCATACTCAAAGCGATATGAGTATACGATAGTTAATTGTAATTAGAAGGGACTTGAACTTTTTGGCTGGATACGGCAGGGTATTGCCGTGCAAAGACGACAGAAACTTTGTTGAATATTGAAAAGGTTGTGGCGCTGATATACTATTACTGGCTCATTACTAGTACGAGGTGTGAGACATGTGGGGGTGGCATGGTGAGTTTTCGTCGTCTTGCTATTCCTCTTTTCTCCGTGGAAATATTGGCTTGGATATAAGAATGGGTCAAGACACCGCGTTATGATGGAAGATCTTAGTTGAGCGCGAGAAGGGGTATATTTTGAGTATGAGGTATATGATGGAAACTTTGTGTCATGTTTTACTGAAGTAGTAGAACATAACAATTGATGTAGTACTGTCACGTTGACGAGAAGCGCTGTTCCCACATGTGCACACTCTTCTCACCACTGCTCCCCCCTCAAACAAAATCAAACACATCACCCCGATCCCCAATCATCTTCCCCACCCTCTTACTCCCCACTACCCTCTCTAACTCCAACCTCTCCCACTTGGAAAAGCAACACCGAACACCCGCCTCCAGCTTGCTGACCTCGCCACGTTCCACGGTCCTCCCAACAAACCCCACAATCTCGTCGTAAAACAACGGGTTCTCTGGGATTCCATAGAAGACAACCTTTTTAACGCCGCGAATGTTGTACCGATGGAAGTGGTGCGCACGACCGGTGTAGAGAAGCAGAGAATGTCGGCCGCTCATGAAGTGCGATCGTGCTTTTCGTACGTCGGTGATGTCTGTGTATTCGGAGATGGAGGCGTAGGAGAGGTCGGAGTCGACGAGCGCGTTGCGCACGCGGACGAAGTCGAGGTAAGAGGGTATGAAGACCAGGACGCCGATGCCACCTTGAGGTGGACGCGGGAGGCACGTGGTCTGTGGCAGGACGGTCGTGCTGAAGAATTTGAAACGGGAGTCGGGATCTGTGAGATGGGAGGGTGAGTCGAAGCGGGAGAAAGTTTGTTTGATCCCATAGCTCATGTTCTCGATGAGTCCGGATGTGTAGTCTGGAGTGAACTTCAAGCGGCCGGAGTAGTTGCGCATGTGTTTGTTGTACAAGGTGTTGATCTTTGGTGTGAGAAAGGCGGATAGGACGATGGTTTGGCGGAAGTACGGTGCGTGCCCGTCAAGATACCATGATCGGACGCGAGAGAAGTCGCAACCATGGGCGTCTTTCGGCTGTAAGTTCAGATGCTCGAAGACAAACTCGACGTGGTCCCAGTTCTGCATGAGCGTCGCGTCGGCCTGCTCCATGATGACCATCTCGATTGAGGAGAGAAAGTCGTAGTCTTTCTTTTTCTCACTACTAGATTCGATAGCTCGTCGTAGTCCGAGCGCAGAGGCGAAGATGATGTCTGAATTGTAGAATGTTGAGTAGAACTTCAATGTCTTCCGCGTGAGCTTCACTCCGACACGGAATTCGTTCTCGTCGTTGCCCTCGAACAATTCACGAAAGTCCTCCGGCCTGTCATCTGAGAACTTATCTTCAGGCAGAGAGAAACTGTCCAGGAAGCGCTTCTTGTTCTCTTGTTGCTCAAAATCATAGAGCTGAGTGATGGAGTTGACTGCACGAACGCATGATTGTTTCGTTTCAAGAAGGTAGAGGATCTTCGGACGAGTGAAGCCTTGGTCGCGGTATTCGGCGTCGTCGTCTTCCTCCGCAGCGGCCAGCTTTGAGTTGTTCTTCAGTACTCTGTCCCTTATTTTGACAATGTGATTGAGCGCGTGTAGGCAAGTCATGTGTCGCAGCCGTCCTGCGTTCTTGACGGTTCTTGCTCCAAATAGCACGTCCTGGTAGTCGAAGAGTGAAAGCGCGATAGCCTGCTCCACATTGTCGAAGTCTCCCAAGACCTTCTTCGCATTTTCCACAAGCCGTGGCTTTAGTCGAATGTCATCCACGCCTCGCAATTTTCGTCTCACAGGCGCAGTATCGTAATTTCCAGGAACTTGATATACGCCCCTCCCGCCTTTTATCCTATCCAACTTCGTGGTCGTCCACTGACCATTCTTTATAGCCTTCAATCGCATCGCCAACTCATTTTCATCTAGGCCCTCAAAGTGAGCCTCGAATGCGCCATTGGTTTCCTCATGACCTAGTTGCGCTTCTTGCACCGACTCTGGTTCGGAGCTGGAGTCGTCCTCGAGTTCAGCTGGCTCTCCATTATCTTCCTTGCCCGCATCGCTCTCTGCGTCCCGTTGCACGTCTGCGGCATCATCTTCTGGGGCGCGTGTTCCGTGATCAAGCTTCCGTCGCTTCCGTCGCTTCCTTCGTGGTTCGTTTACGGATGCATTTGACTTGCTGTGTGATACGAACGATTGTAGCAGGGTGTGATACGCTTTCGAGGTGGACTGCGGTTCCTCCTCTTCTGAAGATGATTCTTCGTTCGCATTGGACTCTGCCTCCGATTGGGAGGAGCTTGAGTACTCTTCTTGTCTATGTTGCGTCAAAATCGCGGACATTCAGCATTCGTTCTCTCCACTTACGCCTCCATTGGTTCCTCGACTCGCGCAGCTGCAAAACCATTCTGCCGTCCTCCTCGCGCGCCACCTCGCATACCCCCTCGACCTCTTCCTCGCCCTCCCCCGCGTCCTCCACGTCGCCCGCGCATTCCTCCTCGCCCTCGAAACGGCGGCATCGACTAGACTTTCGGTCAGTTGCCGGGTATGCAAAGAGCTGTTAACTTTAATTATATCGACTTATGGTGAGAAACGATTCAAGTTAGATTTGTCGAATGCCTGCGAGCTCGCGCAAATAGCAAGTCTTATAGCAGATGTTTGGTGTTGCAGTTCCCAAAATTATTTTACGAGCCCCACCCCTGCAAGTAGCTGGAAAACTTGGCATACACTTCGCTTGCGGCTTCATATTATTGCGGACCCCGCCATTTTTGCTGCCCAAACCCCAACACCAACCCCCACGACAACACCACGCCGACCGGTCTGTAATACTCGTGTGCCCGTGGAATACTCATCATGATGAACAACGACGCCTACCTACATCTCGCGCGGCCCCTCGGCCCTGCCGTGGGCCAACCCTCGACCGCTCCGATCAACGTCGTCGTCCAACCGCAAGCCCTCTTCGCAATCATCGACCATTCCCTCCGGCGACCCGCCGACCAAGAGCGCGTGATCGGAACCCTGCTAGGTACCCGCAGCGAAGATGGCACCGAGGTCGAGATCCGCAACTGCTATGCCGTCCCCCACACCGAGAATGCCGAGCAAGTAGAGGTGGACATGGATTACCAGAAGCAGATGCTGGCTCTGCACCTCCGCGCAAACCCCAAGGAAATCCTCATCGGCTGGTATGCGACAAGCAGCGACCTCAACACCTTCTCCGCCCTGATCCAAAATTTCTACGGCCAGCAGGGCGATGGCACGTTCCCTCACCCCGCTGTCCATCTTACCGTATCGACAGAGCCGGGGAAGGAACCTGAGTCTCACACATATATTTCCGCGCCTATTGGTGTTACAGCAGAACGTGCGGCAGATTCATGCTCCTTCATCCCTGTGCCCCACGAGCTCAAGTATGGAGAGGGCGAGAAGTCGGCTCTTGAGCTCATTTCCTCGGCTAAAGATCGCGAGGACCGGACACAGTCGACATTCTCTGACCTAGAGGCCCTAGAGAATGCTGTCAAGCACGTCCTAGACATGCTCGAGCGCGTCTCGAACTACGTTAACAACGTACTCGATGAGGAAGCCGAGCCATCGTCTGCGTTAGGACAGTTTCTCCTAAACGCTCTAAGTCTAGCACCCAAGGTCGAGCCCGCCGATGTTGAGCGCGACTTGTACGTGGATTCCTCCATCTTTTACTTCACGAAAGCTAATATGGCCCAGCAACTCCCACATCCAAGACGTCCTCGTTGTCTCGTACCTCGCAAACACTATCCGCACGCAAATCGACCTCTCAAACCGCCTCGCCACGGCCGCGCTCACACTCGGTACCGATGCCGCTGTCACAACCGAAGGCGGCCAGCGCGACGGCGACCGACAAAAGGGGGGACGGGGTGGCAAGGGTCGGCAGCAGCAAAGGCAACAGCAGGAGGCATGAAGGGTTCTTCTTGACGCTGCTAGACCACTGCGGGAAATGTTCATTGTTTGATTTTGCATTATAGACCGGCAAGGGGAAAAAGTACGGAGGTGATACGGAACACGATGTCACGAGTCGGGCATCACGGCGATATGGTGCAGAGGGGAGGAATCTGGGGAGGTGCGATGCAGCCCAGGGCGTGAGGAATGACGCCATAAGGAGAGGTGGTAACGAGCATGTATGAATACCGGAAACACGTGTTCTGCGCATAAATTCAGCCTCAAGCTCAGAAAGAGCTCGCCGGACATGTAGACACTAGTCATACCAGTCCGAACCCCCATCCTCGCTCGCAACTTGTTTCCTATTCTGACTTCGTGATGCCGCCTTGTGTGCTACAGCGAGGTGCCAAAAGGGTTTTCTCCAAGTGCGACGGTCTCCATGGCGTGGGCATTGTAAAGTGTTCGT